GCTTTCTCCCTGGCGCTCACCTCGTCCTCATCTGCGCATCCAGCTTGGCTAGAGATCTGATCAGCAACTCACCTTAAAGCCCGAGCCTGTCCAAGACCGCGGCAACTTCTTGAGGAGTCTTTGCATCTGCAAGCGCTTGAAGGCGGACTTTCTTTAAGTCTTCTTCCCTCTTTGTAAGGACCGCATTGCGCACTTTGTTCTGGCGCTCCTTGGCAGCAACGGCTTTCTCCCTGGCGCTCACCTCGTCCTCCCTTGCCTGCAGACGATCAGCCTTCGCTTGCATGCCCCTCTTGTACCCCATGCGTTGGGCATTTGAGAAGGCCACACGGTATGCAACAACGCATCCCCTTTCCTGATTGGGCGTGATTGGCTGAGGGAGCCCCTCTGTGATCTCTTCCATGATCACATCCTCACTTGCAATGCCAAAGAGCTCTTCCTTGCGCTTGTCATTGTTGTTGGGCACACTTGAGTCGCTCTCTTGTCCACCAACGCGTGTGCGCTTCCTCAATTGCGGCATCTTGAAACTGCACGGAATGTTCGGCTCGAGTGACAGTGAAGACAAAAGCTTGTGATCGATCCGCACCCTGTTGATCGGACGATGGGCCCCGAAGTTTGCTAGTATGAGCTCAACATTGTCAATGGATTTGAAGTCCTGTCGTCTGATGACAGTAAACTATGACTCACCTCCTGTCTACAGAGCACTACGATTTCTACTTTGCGCCTCAAGGCGAAGCGGAATGTGGACAGTCGCTTGAAGATGTCGCGCAGACCAAATATCAAAAGCGGGAGCGATCCTGTATGATAGTCTCTACGAAGAGCTGAGCAGATCGCTGAGCGATGATCCTGAAAATGGAGAGAGCAGCCTGCCAAACGCAGTGAGTCGATGGAGGGTCGCAAGGCTTGTGAGCTGTTGCCCGGACGGTTCAAGCAGATGTGTCTCGCAAAGCGCGTCAAATGAGAGGTGAGCGCGTAGACCTCGAGAAGAGAGCAGAAGTCATGCGCTCGACTTTGACCCAATCCTCGGCAAAAGTCGTGAGCAAAGTCCCATTTGAGGAGAGAGACGTGGGTATTGGCTCGATGAGCGAGGCGGTTGAAGCCGAGAAAAAGCGGTGGCAAGAGCGCGGCGAAGGAAAGCGCCTGAGAGCGGCGCTGAAAGCCCAGAAACAGAGGCGGCGAGAGTGTGGCGAAGTAAAGCGCTTGGAAGAGGCGGTGAGCCTGGAAAAGGAGGCGGCGAGAGCACGGCGAAGGAAGCTTGAGAAAGGCGGTCGAAGCCCGCAAAAACAGGCGGCGAGAGCGCGGCGAAGGAAGACGCTTCATCCGTTGATCGTTTCAGCCGGTCCTGCAAAGGAGTTGGAGGCAGACGGCTCTGCTGATATCTCCTCAATACTCCCAGCTGTTCCGTCAGCCGTTGTTCCTCCGCCTGTCAGCTCTCTAGCTGCGCCCGAGGAAGATAGCATGCTTGTCGACGCTTCGCCCGGCTTCATGCCCATGCCCGCTGTGAGCGCGTCGGTCAGCGCGTCGAGGTCAAGCCCGTCGTCTTTGCCCTCTTTGTCGTCTTTGCGACAGGAGCAGTGAGCATGACGGTCTTGAAGCTTCAGCACCTCGTCCCTCGCGACGTCGAGCCACTCCCTCGTGCTTTGCGCCTCGTTGCTCAGCTGCAG